AAAAAAGGCAGATGATATTTTGCATCGTACACTTCCCTTGCAAATACTGCTCTCCTATGAAAGTAACCTTTAATTTCTTAAAAGCCGAATTCTGTCTTAAAGTTTCTTCTTAGTAATTTGTTGCCTAGCTAGTAATATTTTACTGACAATGGTATCAGGTTTCTAAAACATATCATTTCAGGTCAATTTACTTCATAAAGCCTAGAAAGAATCATTTTAGCCCTTTTATGTGCACAAAGATAAAGAAAAACATATGGCAAGGAGAAAGATAAAGACACAAATGAAAAATCAAGAAACATGAAAGATAATTGAGAGGCTTCTATATTTGTCTAACAGGAATGTGAGAAGAGAATGCAAGATGGAGGGAATGACTGAGAGGTCTTAATTTCAAGATACAATTGCTGAGAATTTTACACAATTAATAAAAGATACAAGTTCACATAGAGAAATTCTTAACAGTATAAATAAACGTATTCCAAAATAAATCACAGTGAAACTCAGGAATGCAAAAGACTAAGCAAACATAAAAAACTCAAAACAACAACAACCTTAAAGCTCCTAGAAAGAAAACATATTTGACCTAAAAGAAATAACAATTAGATTGAGAGAAATAGAGTAACAGAATGAAAATTTAAAACAAATGACTATTACCTCCAAAATAAAGAAACTGTCAACCATGAAGCATATGTTCAACTAAATGATTTACATGAGAAAGAAACAGTATTTTAGCTGAATGAAAATGAAGAAGATTTATAATCATGTGAACCCTAAAAGATGGACTGACAGAAGCAATGGTAAGAAAACATTTGTAACTATACTGTTAAGATAATAATCTTTGTTTAAGAAAAGCCAAAGAACTATAATGACACATTTTGAGGGTGGTTATAATAAAAAGTAGACCTATAACAACCTAGACTACATTAAAAAAAAAAAAAAAATAGTTCTTTTTTTCTTTTTTGAGAGAGTTTCATTCCTGTTGACTAGGCTGGAGTGCAATGGTGCAATCTCAGCTCAATGCAACCTCCACCTCCCACATTCAAGCGATTCTCCTGCCTCAGCCTCCAATTCCCCTGCCTCAGCCTCCCGAGTAGTCTGGATTACAGCTGTGCGTGGCCATGCCCAGCTAATTTTTGTATTTTTAGTAGATACAGGGTTTCACCATTCTGGCCAGTCTGGTCTCAAAGTCTTGACCTCAGGTGATCCACCCGTCTCAGCCTCCCAAAGTGCTGGGATTACAGGTGTGAGCTATGACACTTGGCCCCATCTTCTTTTAAATCTTTTTTAGTCTCATTATTCTTCAGAATAAGAACACATGCTGATTAGATTTAGTATTTGCCAAGGGAATATTTTGTAAAGTTTAAAAAATGAGAAAAATTTTTTGCAAGCTACCCATCTGACAAAGGGCTAATATCCAGAATCTACTAATAACTTAAATTTACAAGAAAAAAAGAACTCCATCAAAGAGTGGGCAAAGGATATAAACAGACGCTTTTCAAAAGACATTCATGCAGCCAACAAACATGAAAAAATGCTCATCATCACTGTTCATTAGAGAAATGCAAATTAAAACCACATGAGATACCACATCATGCCAGCTGGAATGGCAATCATTAAAAAAATCTGGAGACAACAGATGCTGGAGAGGATGTGAAGAAATAGGAATGTTTTTACACTGTTAGTGGGAGTGTAAATTAGTTCAACCATTGTAGAAGACAGTATGGCAATTCCTCAAGGATGTAGAAATAGAAATACCATTTGACCCAGCAATCCCATTACTAGGTCAAATGGTATATACCCAAAGGATTATAAATCATTCTATTATAAAGACACATGCACACGTATGTTCACTGCAGCACTGTATATAATAGCAAAGACTTGGAACCAATCCAAATGCCCATCAATGATAGACTGGATAACGAAAATATGGCAAATATACAGCATGGAATACTATGCAGCCATAAAAAAGGGTAAGTTTATGTCCTTTGCAAGAACATGGATGAATCTGGAAACCATCATTCTCAGCAAACTGACACAAGAACAGAAGATCAAACACCTCATGTTCTCACTCATAAGTGGGTGTTGTAAAATGAGAAAACATGGACACAGGGAGGGGAACATCACATACTGGGGCTTGTTGGCGGGGGGCACTGGGGGAGGGATAGCAGGAGTAGGGGTATTGGAGAGTGATAACAGGAGAAATACCTAATGTAGGTAATGGGGGGGATGGAGGCAGCAAACCACCATGGCTTGTGAATACCTATGTAACAGTCCTGCATGATCTGCACATGTACCTCAGAACTTATAGTAATAAAAAATACACAAAACCATATAAACTCCAGATCAGTTGAGCACAAATAAAAGGAAATAAACTGAACAAAACTTAAAAACAAGAAAGGAGAGCAAAATATACACACAGATAGAACAAGCAAATTATCCCAGACTGCACTAAAAATGTATGTATGTATGTATGTATGTGTGTGGGTGTGTGTGGGTGTGTGTGTGTATTCTAAAAGACACTACGAAAACATAATGACAAAAAGGTTTGAAAGAAAAGGAACAAAAAAAGATATACTGTACTGAGCAAATGGCAAAATAAAGCTTCAGTTTCAGAGGTCATGGTAGAATATTTTTTAAAACTGACCTGATGTCTGGTATATGCTTTAAGACAACAGTCAGCAGCCTTTTTGGCACCAGCAACCAGTTTCATGAAAGACAATTTTCCATGGATCGGGGCAAGGGAGATGGTTTGGGAATGAAACAGTTCCACCTCAGATTACCAGCCATTAGTTACATTTTCTTTTTTTTTTTTTTTTTTTTGAGACGGAGTTTCGCTCGTTACCCAGGCTGGAGTGCAATGGCGCGATCTCGGCTCACCGCAACCTCCGTCTCCTGGGTTCAGGCAATTCTCCTGCCTCAGCCTCCTGAGTAGCTGGGACTACAGGCATGCGCCACCATGCCCAGCTAATTTTTTGTAGTTTTAGTAGAGACGGGGTTTCACCATGTTGACCAGGATGGTCTCGATCTCTTGACCTTGTGATCCACCCGCCTCGGCCTCCCAAAGTGCTGGGATTACAGGCTTGAGCCACCGCGCCCGGCCTAGTTACATTTTCATAAGGAGCACACAACCTAGATCCCTTGCATGTGCAGTCCCTCCTATGAGAATCTAATGCCCTTGCTGATCTGACAGGAGGAGAGCTCAGGCGGTACCACTCCAATCACCTCCTTCTGTGCTGCCAGGTTACTAAAGGGCCACAGATTCGTACCATATCTGCTGCCCAGGGGTTGGAGACCCCTGCTTTAAAGACACTCTAGTTTAAAAAACAAAAGGCCATGCGAAGTGGCTCACGCCTGTAATCCAAGCACTTTGGGAGGCCAAGGTGGGCAGATCACAAGGTCAGGAATTCGAGACCTGCCTGGCCAACATGGTGAAACCCCATCTCTACCAAAATACAAAAAATTAGCTGAGCATGGTGGTGCATGCCTGTAATCCCAGCTACTCCGGAGGCTGAGAGAGGACAATTGCTTGAACCCAGGAGGCGGAGGTTGCAGTGAGCCAAGATCACACCACTGCACTCCAGCCTGGGCAACAGAGCTAGACTCTGTCTCAAACAGTAATAATAATAATAAAATTTTTTAAAAAGGTGGGGGTGGGAGGAAGAGATCATCTGGAGCAAATGTTGAATCTAAGTGTTGGTTACATGGGATTCACCGCACCACCCTTTTGATAGTTGAACATACTTGGAATTTTTCATAATAAGAAAAAAACTACACAGAATACCAAGCCTATTTTGAGAAACATCCATAGCAAATACTAAAGAGAAACACATTAAAGTGTTAGCACTTTTATTATATGTAATTTTTTTCTTTTTTATCTGAACATCACTGTCCAACATATGTAATTTTAAATTTTCCAGTGCCATATAAAAAAGGCAAAAACCAAAAATAAGTGAAATTAATTTTAACAATTTAAGCCAGTGTATCCAAAATATTAACATTTTGACATACAATGCAAAAAATTATCGAGCCATCTTACATTTTTTTGTACAAAGTCTTTGAAACTCAGGGTGTATTTAACACTTATAGCATATCTTAATTTAGACTAACCACATTTCAAGTGCTCCTAGGGCACACGTGGCTTACAGCTACTGGTTTGGATAGTGCACCTCTATAATAAGCATTCATTACTTCTATAACCAGAATATGACATATTTTGACATGGAATGAAATTGAGATGTTGTAGGATTTTTCTAAAAAATTCAAAATTCATCACTGCAGTTTTTGAGATCTTCCACAATAAAATCCACACCTACATTCCCAAGGCTGATTTCCAATGACTCACCTGTAGCTAAATGGATTACTATTTAAGATAACTGAAGGTAACTATATCATTGAGATTAAGATCACAGACTTTGAACAAAGAACAGAAAACAACAGAACTAAACAAAAACAAACAAAACAAACCAACAAAAAAGATCACACACTCTGAAAAGAACTGCTTAGGTTCAATCCCAACCCACTTCTTACAATCAGCTGAATAACTTTGGGAAAGTATTTCATAAAATAAGCTCTGCTTAATTTACTCATAATAACATGACCTACTTCATCAATATCTATGGTCCACAGATAAATGCCTTAAAATCAAAGTGGTAAGATGTTATTGATAATACTCATTTCCAAGTATCTTTCCTACCCACTTTCACATTTATTCAACAAATATTTTATCATTTTTCAGTAGTAACTTACTGAGTGAAGTAAACTTGATTAGTTCAAAGGACAGACAATGGAACAACAAAGTGTGTTCAAGAGCAGGTACCTGGGCTATGCTGGAAGAAGGAACGAAGTCCCTCCCTCCTCCTCTTTGCGAATTCGGAGGCGGTGAAAAAAAAAAAAAAAGGATGCCTTGAGTTAGCACGATGGAGTCTCTATCCCTTATAAACGCCACAGTAAACATTCCCATGCACTGGAGTCTGATGACTCAATCCTTCCTAAAAAAAAAAATCGGTAAAAGTTCCGGAAGACCTCGGTCTCCTGAAGGATGAGAAAGAAGGGCCATGGCATAAAGCCCTGACCTTTCCTCTCTCTTCACTGGAGCTTCCAGTAAAAAGGGTGCTTGTTAGGGAATCAGTTGATTATCAACAGCAGAAGCCAACCAGGTATCAGGTGCCACTACCGTTCTAAGGTTTGACCCGTATTACCTCGTTTAAGTCTAATTACAACCCTACCCAGTAACAGTAGGGTTTACCCAGTAACTACCTTTATTGTTATTTTACAGATGATGAAACACAAGACCGGATAATAGGTAACCCGCTGTTTATTATACCTACAGAAGTAGCGGCGCAGCTCGCCAAGTGCGGGATGAGAGCAAACTTCCGCCCTTGGCCTCTCGGCCTCCGCCCGCGGCCGCAACCTCTCCATCCTAAGACTGACGGCTGGGGAGCGCCACGCGCAGGCTGGAAAGCTTCAGAAGGGCCCTGGGGGTGTAACGTTGACTCACCTCCCGGACCCAAAAGATGGTGGCGGCCTCGCTTTCCGGGGCGGAAGTGGCTCTGCCTGTCCGGAGCTCCTTAACTACCCTTCCCAGAAGCCTCGCGCGCCTGCGGCCCAACTGTTTCCGGACAGAGTTCTGGAATACGTTTCCCAGAACTCCCAGGAGGAAGAACTTCCAGGTGGCGCCCTCTTCGCGCTAAAAAATAAAAATATAAAAATAAATAAAAAAAAGAGAGAGAGCGAGCGAGCGAGAAAGGGTTACCGAGAGTATAACAAAAGAATCTCCAAATTCTTGGAGCTCCCGGACTACAACATCCAGAATCCCCTTCATGGCTTCTTGCCGTTTTGCCTGGCTGAAGCAGTTCTCTGATGTCAGTGGAATTTAGGTTTTTCTCATTAACAACAACAACAAACCAGCAAATTTGTGAAGAATTGGAGCCCTAAAGGAAAAAAAGATTATCAGAGGCCGGGCGCGGTGGCTCAAGCCTGTAATCCCAGCACTTTGGGAGGCCGAGGCGGCTGGATCACGAGGTCAAGAGATCGAGACCATCCTGGTCAACATG